TTTGGAAGTGAAGCTTCACTCTCGCCGGTATGTCCTCCTGTTCCTCGCTCATGTTTTACCGGGTGTTTTGATGGTCTGCAAACTTAGCGGCGGGGCTGCTGGATTGATAACGATATGATTGGTGGTTTGCTGTGCATGCAGAGCCTGTGTTAAGACTCAGAGTACTGACATGAGAGCAAGTTTCTTTTTGTAGCAAGAGCAAAATAATTGTTCTGCTGTTGCGTTTTTACCAACTTAATATCCGCACGTCCTAAAAAAAACAAACACTTAATACAATAACATTCTCAACATCGCACATCCCTGCGATGTGAATAATGCGCATATTGCGGTTATCGCGCCATGACACGTATATCGTTCAGCTCTAATCGAGGACCCATTTCCACTTTGTAATAATAAGCAATCTGGCGGTTTAGTCTCATAAATGAAAGTCACTTATATAGTATTGCATGCATACATAGTTTCTGTAATGAAAATATTGAACCCGTTGTATGCATGAATGTATTGGTATTGCCAGGTTATTGCCAAGACATCTTCTTTATCCCGTTTTGTTTATTTATTTCCCCCTGAGCTGTCGTCCATGAACTCCGACCAAGAGAGTTGGCTCTGTCAGATCGCCAAAGGAGTGTAAAGAAGTTCTCCAAACAGCTGGGACTCCGGGTGGTGGTGGTGTTATGGAGGCCACAGGCATCAGTGAACCAGGTAACACCCACGCTAAATGTTTTCTGTTAATGTTACTTCCCCACGAGGCTTTAATCAGCTTACAGTTAAAGAGCGCCTGTGACAGCATCCCAACAACTGTTGTGCTATGAATAATTGGGCTACTAGTAATCTCGAACGTCAGTTTAAAAAATAAGGTGCGATACCGTTCCCGATAAATAAGTCAATAATTTTCGAACATCGCGGGAAAATTCCGTTCGACTCATTTTGAAGTTTTGGGGGAAGCCGAAAGGACGTCCAATGCGGGAACGCTTCACCTGTGCGGCGAGAGGAGCCAAACAGGGACAAAGTGTGTTGTCATGCGTAAGAAATGCTGAATTACTGAGTCTTAGGCACGTTAATAACGTTTTAATGAAGTTGACTACAGTATATTTCATATTTGTCAGTGCTTTCATGTCAATTCGGCGAACATAACATAAATGATCGTGTGAAGATTGATGATTAAAGTTCAGGAATAAAAAATCGGTAAGTGAGAGCTGCTGAATTTCTTCCCGTCGGATGTGATATAAAAACAAATCGATTATTTTTGTAGTTGTAAACTCAAGTGGATGAAACTACATTTATTAGTGCTTTCATGTCAATTCATATGAAACATTAAATGATCTTGAGGATGATGATTTAAAATCGTTTGTTTGAGCCGGTATGCATTTCCTGATGAGAAAACAAACAGATGCTTTTTGTAGTTGTAGTACACCAACGTGGATTAAACATGTTTTTTTTACCCCAATGTTGGGGAAATTAATGGATAAAATGCACGGATTATTATTATTATTATTATTCCTATTCCCACTCCGATCGGGACACTAGGTCCACCGTTTCCCCGCAGCGAGGCTCCCCCCGTTGACAGTTTACGTGGGCTGGGCTGGGTGCAGTGGCGGACTGGCCATCGGGACGAATCCCGATGGGCCGGTACCGAAGTGGGCCGGTCGGATAAGTCACTAGCACATCCCCCACTCCCCCCGTTGACAATTTACTAGCGGTACCGAAGTGGGCCGGTCGAGAGTCCCGGGCTGATTTTTAGTCTCAGTCCACCACTGGCTACATGACTGTATGATCGCCCATATTGACGCACCTAATTCCTAAACTTCTAACAGATACAACATAAACCGATCCTTCAGCCTCATATGAGCTCTCAGACACGTTCAAAATTAAACTGTCATCGCTGTCATCGCTTGCTGCTGTGTGCCCCATCGTGCGTTTACATCAGGTTTACATGCAGATGCTGGGGTCCTGAACGGTGCAGCTGGAGCGCTGTGCCCGCATTGACGTCACACATAATTTGGCGGGACTTGAAGAATCCCCGAGAAGATCCAGAAAATGGTCAACATTGAAGGGCAGATTAATGGTTATCAAAGTACAAATATCCAAAATCAGTTCAGTAACGGTTTTCAAGGGGACAATATTTACTCAAATTGATGGGTTTGGATGATGGGGGAAAACTTGTGTCACAGGCTCTTTAACTCAAGTCAATCTATCAGAACAGTAAAGTCAAGCTAAATGTAATTGTCAGGGTGCAATGCAATCTTTGATGAAATAAAATGGCTTTATGCCTACATTTACACTACATGATTTTAGCCATGATTTTCTTCTGGCCAACAGTTTTTGGAGCAGGTTAAATATGGTGATTGGTCTGCAAGTCCAAATCCTGTACTCTGAAATTTGTTTTGACGGGCAATGATGACAGTAACAACCGAGAGCCAATGAGAGCATAGCATATGGGTTAAAGGAGACTTATTTCTCTATTTCCTTTCAACACTCTGCAGAACAGTTACTCCTTAGCTTCCCCCATATTCCCAAACATGTTCTCCTCCATATTCCTTCATTTCTTCTTTCTTTTTATTGCTGCAAATCAGCATTTAAAACTATTTTGTTGACTTCATTCTACTAGTATCTTTAGATGATCTTAAACGCCAGTGACTGGATAACTTTGTTAGTTAGTTATTCGATTGTTATTTTGTTAATTTGAGCGTTACACTAATACTTTAATTTGTTGTCGGTTTCCAGATTGCTGAGCTGAAGAGAGGAGCGGAGATCATCGTGTGCACACCGGGAAGAATGATTGACATGTTGGGGGCCAACAGCGGTGAGTTCATTCCCCCTCGACCCTCCCTTCTTTATTCTTGTAGGATGTCACTGTGAGCCTTTTGTTAATTACCTTGCATGCAATTAAATGTAACAATTGATAAAGTACATACTTGCCCAAGTCAGTAACACTTACTAAACTGTTGACATTATTTGACCACCCTTGGGATCAGTCATACCTACCAGACAGTGATGTGTTTCCTGAAGATCAGGGCAAGTACAGGTAGGTGGACCTGGCGCTGTCTCCGTGGTTCCTCAACTCCAAGCCAGAGACCATCAAAATGTTTGATAAGTGTATTGTACATTGGTTTATCAGGATGTGTATTTATTAGGGCTGTCAATAGATCCATTTGTGACTCAAATGTATAACTATTAATCGCATAAATCCGTAGTTGCTTGAGGGGAAGACTTTTACCAGCGGGTAAACTATTGTGTGGCCATAACAGGTTATTTAAAATAATTTCACAGTGCCTACTATTTACGATCCAACTGACTGACATTTTGCGCTGCGTGATTTCAGAGTATTGCATTGGTTAATTCACTATTTTAATTATTCTCTTTTGGCCAAAAATCAGAGCCACAAAGACTGCTCCTGCTTGAAGGGCAGCAGTTTACAATACCATCCGTATATCAACTTAATTCATACAAATGTGCATTCATTCGCAATGGTTTTTGATCCAATTATTCCTATTAATTTATCCAAAAAAAGAGCAAAACTGTTAAATTGACAGCCCTAGTACTTGTGTTATATTAGGAGTGGCCTTGATGCTCAAGCAGGGTTCTACAGAGTTGTTCTTTTGGTTCTTATACTGTGAATAAAAAAAATGCCTGTCAAAGTAACTACTACTAATAATTGTAATAAACAATATTAATTTCATTTTTAAAGAGTTTTGAGTCACTGCTATTATGATAATGTAAAATAAGTAAAAGGCAAGTACCGTAATTTTCGGACTATAAGGCGCACCTGAATATAAGCCGCAGCAGCGGCATACCACTCTCGGTTCCACTTTTACTTTTGCGCGCTACCTGTCTCACTGTTTTCCGGCCTCCAGCTTTTCCTGCTGGAACCCGCCGCTTAAAGGTGGGGGTCCGCGGACCGGCCATAGAGCCCATAGAGTTAAAGGTGTTGGCCGTTAGCTGTAAAAATCCATAGATTAGCCGCACCGTTATATAAGCCGCAGCGTCGAAAAATAGGGAAAAAGGCGCGGCTTATAGTCCGAAAATTATGGTACACCCATTAGGTTTTTTTAATGTTTTTATTTGAGCTCATGGAGCTTATTAGCCCATTAATAACACTGTGGAGCCCTGTGCAGCAGTAGGCCTTTGCATACAAATATAAAGAAATATTGGAAATGTGTTAAGAAAGCAGTTATTGTAAAACTTTAACTTTTTAATCGTGCATTTCTAAATATTTTCTGAGCCTTTTATTATGAAAAGGTTTTTGTTGTTTCCACACATGCGAGGTAATCTCTAATATGTTTCCCTTGTAGGTGAAAAGGCGATTGGTCAGATATTGCTTGGGGCTCCATCTCTTGTTTTGTATCTTGAGGCTGTTTTCTGACTTTTACAGGTCCCTCATGTCCCTGAGATGGTACGCAAGCCCAGAGAAAAACTATAAAAAAACATGTACAAATATAAATCAAATCCAACCCTGGCCATTTGAAACTAGTCCACAGAAGAATACGCTCAAGTTGTTATATCATGTGCCTTGTTTTCTTTGCCAAGTAGTCTTACAACGAAAACGTTTCTCTGTTTTGTAGATATGTTTAATCTGTATGAAAGCTTGAGTGGGGATGAGAATGAGGACTGGCTTTTCTTGAAGCTAACTGTTTTCCTTGTGCTCATCTCCTTCGGTGTGTAGGTCGAGTCACCAACCTGCGCAGATCTACATATGTGGTGTTGGATGAAGCAGACAGGATGTTTGACATGGGCTTTGAGCCACAGGTGGGTCTTTCCAAGATGTATTGTTCGTATATATACGGTTTCTCTTTCTATGCCTGGACCACAGCGCCTGACAGTTAGCACGGACAGGATTTTGTTTCTTGTTAATCGTGAATATCATCAAATGTGACTTGAAAAGCTTTATAATAATAATGCTCGAGAAAATAAAACCCCAGCCTTATTTTAAGATAAAAAAAACACAATGGTGCTCTAGGAGGAATTTCAGGTGATGACCGGGCGGGTGTTACCTTCGTTGGTTATCGGCTAATGGTTACACGACCCAGAAAACATTGTGACATCACAAATCAGAATCTGATCAGCTACAGGTTTTTATTTAAATGGATCGGGACAAATAGATATTTTTTCTCACTAAAAGGATGTGCATTCAACAAAAATATGTGGCCTATCTTTGACGCAATTAAATAATTTTTCCCTTAGCAAAACTCTAAGTCCACTATGTTATAATGTTATGCCAGTTTTATGCAGATTTTGGATCATTTTCAGGAGCATATTGTGAATCCTTATTTTTGGCCAGAACAATTGTGACATAACATTTTCATATTGTCCAATACCTAGTTTCACCTGGATGTGTAATTGCCCACATTCTCAAACAAGCACAAATTACAAAGTTAAAGAAGGTGAAAAATATTTTGGATAATAAAACTATAACAACATTGACTGTCATTTGTTACTTTGGATTTTGTGCTTCCCAGTAAAGCAGTGAAACAGGATAGAAAACAATGAGCTTAGGAACGAGTAGACGGCTTTCTCTAACCTTCAGGTGTATTCTGGTTCCTCTACCAGGTGATGCGTATTATAGACAACGTGCGTCCAGACCGTCAGACGGTCATGTTCTCCGCCACCTTCCCCAGAGCTATGGAGGCGCTGGCCCGTAGGATCCTGATCAAACCTCTGGAGGTCCAGGTGGGGGGCCGCAGTGTGGTCTGCTCTGATGTGGAACAACACGTGGTAAATCATCTTTCTCTCATTTAAAAAATGATTTATTTAAATTTATTTTTTCAGGTCTTTTAACAAACTTCATGATTTCACATTGGTTTGAGTTAGATTGCCCCCTTTGTTTAAATTCATATTGGCCACTCAATCCAAATCAGTCCTCATCTTTCTCTCTTTTCTCCTTTTGTGTTTCTGTAGCTGGTGATTGAGGAGGACAAGAAGTTCCTGAAGCTTCTTGAGATTCTGGGTCACTACCAGGAGAAGGGCTCGGTCATCATCTTTGTTGACAAACAGGAGCATGCAGACTCTCTGCTGAAAGACCTGATGAAAGCCTCGTACCCCTGCATGTCACTGCACGGAGGTAAGGGGGCCACTCGTTACAACTTTTTGATATTTGGATGTATTTACAATTTGGGTGTGTTTGAGTGGTGTCTTTGAAAGGTGTCTTTGAGTGGTGTCTTTGAGTGGTGTCTTTGAGTGGTGTCTTTGAGTGGTGTCTTTGAGTGGTGTCTTTGAGTGGTGTCTTTGAAAGGTGTCTTTGAAAGGTGTCTTTGAGTGGTGTCTTTGAGTGGTGTCTTTGAGTGGTGTCTTTGAGTGGTGTCTTTGAGTGGTGTCTTTGAGTGGTGTGTTTGAGTGGTGTCTTTGAAAGGTGTCTTTGAGTGGTGTCTTTGAAAGGTGTCTTTGAGTGGTGTCTTTGAGTGGTCCCAGAATCCCAGATATGTGTTAACTCTACAAAAATGTAAATGTATTTTCAACTACAAGAGCACTCAAAGAAGTACCGTACTTTTCGGACTATAAGCCGCGCCTTTTTTCCCATTTTTCGACGCTGCGGCTTATATAACGGTGCGGCTAATCTATGGATTTGTACAGCTCACGGCCACCACCTTTAACTCTATGGGCTCTATGGCCGGTCCGCGGACCCCCAACTTTAAGCGGCGGGTTCCAGCAGGAAAAGCTGGAGGCTGGAAAAGAGTGAGACAGGTAGCGCGCAAAAGTAAAAGTGGAACCGAGAGTGGTACGAGAGACAGAACGAGAGCAAGACAGACAGACATAACGAGAGCGAGACAGTTTGTCCCCGTACCACTGGTTGAAAACCACTGCTGTAGATCACTGCCGGTACGTGCGCTGGGAGCGCACCGTTTAAGTTTGAAAGTTGAAAAGTTTGTGTGTCTGAAACGCTATGTGATACAGTACAGTTTACACAGCACAGTACATGTTCTGTAGCTACTATTGCACTAAATGGTAACACTTGAATACGTTATGCAAATATGCAACTTGTTTGTTGAAATGTTAATAAATGGGAGCTTCCTCAAACAGCCATCTCTTTCCCGACAATCCCCTCTGTGCACGAACCCTTACATATGGTAATTAAACATTAAAACACCTGCGGCTTATAGTCCAGTGCGGCTTATATATGTACACATCATTCAATTTAGCTGCTGCGGCTTATATTCAGGTGCGCCTTATAGTCCGAAAATTACGGTACTGTGTGCTGAAGACTTTTCTTTTTGCTGGTGCTTTTAATTGAACTATTCACATCTTAAACTGCACTGTAACTTTTTTTCACGGATTTTTTCTTTTAATGTTTATTTTTATTATCTTTGCTTTTTAATGACTGTTTTTAAATGCCATTTTCTTAATGTCTTTAATCTTTGTAAAGCACTTTGAATTGCCTTGTGTTGAAAGGTGCTGTATAAATAAACTTGTATTGCCTGTGAAGGTATGTACACTACATACATTATTAAGTATAGTCTGCTGCCAGCTTAATATGGCCACTTTGTTCTTGTATTGCGTCTAAAACCTTCCTACAGCTGCAAAGGGAGTGGTCTGATTCCTGCCTTACCATAACTGAAGTCTAGTTTTTGTCTTTTATTGATTAACTTCCTGCTGTCTTGTTAGGAATTGACCAGTACGACAGAGACAGCGTCATCAGCGACTTTAAGAACGGAGCATGTCGTCTGATGGTGGCTACCTCTGTGGCTGCGCGAGGCCTGGACGTCAAGCAGCTGATCCTGGTGGTCAACTACAACTGTCCCAACCACTACGAGGACTACGTCCACAGGGCCGGACGCACAGGCCGCGCAGGCAACAAGGTCCGTTACTAAGGAATATGTTTTCAGGTGCATATTTAATAGCTTCAATCCTATGGAAGTTTATATCTTTTCTCATCTCTAAATCTTGTTCTTTCCTCAAGGGCTTCGCCTACACCTTCATCACAGATGACCAGGTTCGCTATGCGGGGGATATCATCAAAGCCCTGGAGCTGTCCGGCTCTCCTGTCCCGCCTGAACTGGAGCAGCTTTGGTCCTCCTTCAGAGACCAACAGAAAGCGGTAAGATGAGAGAAAGGGGGATCTTAAAGTTTAAGAGTGTGTGTGTGGTGTCTCTATTAGTCTGTCAAAACTAAATCTTCATTATTTCCTTATTCCCCTCTCCCCCCCCCCTTCTTCCTTCCAGGAGGGTAAGACCATTAAGAGCAGCAGCGGCTTCTCAGGAAAAGGCTTCAAGTTTGATGAAACAGAACACGCCTTAGCTAATGAGAGAAAGAAGCTTCAGAAAGCTGCTCTCGGACTGCAGGACTCTGATGACGAGGATGGAGCCCTGGATGTGAGTAGTGTTTACATTTCATTGTTAAATACATTACTTTAAATGTTTGTAAAACTGGCAACATGCTCATTGCAAAAAATGCAGCACTCCACTGTTTCTCTGCATCATCTAAAATAACATTTTTGGCATATCAAGTGTACCACCCAGCAAGTGAAAATTACAAAATCCTATGGATTATTAATTGAATCGTTCCGACCCATCTCAATGTATCTCCCCTGCTTTTTCCCCTCCTCAGATTGAAGAGCAGATCGAGAGCATGTTCAACTCCAAGAAGCGGGTGAAGGACCTGTCGGCTCCCGGGGCGACCTCCGGCTCTGCAGGATCAACGTCCTCCACATCGTCCGTCTCCGGGGGGCTGCCAGGCCTCGGCCCGACGTCTGCTGGAAACATCCAGAAACTGGAGATGGCCAAGAGGCTGGCGCTGAAGATCAATGCTCAGAAGAACCTGGGCGCCGAGGCTCAGGTACGTCGAATGCCAGAGGAGACATGGAGAGGATTTTCTATCTCTAAATGTTCTGTCAATCCTCACCTATTATACTTGGTGATACAGTTGTGTTTCAGTCGCATTGTTGGCCTTTTGGAAGACGGGCACCAACATTTCAAATGTTCTGAATAGCAAAAAATGCTCACTGATGGACATGAGCCAAAAATGTGAATCATCAAATAATTTATTTATATATATACAGTGGGGCAAAAAAGTATTTAGTCAGCCACCAATTGTGCAAGTTCTCCCACTTAAAAAGATGAGAGAGGCCTGTAATTTTCATCCTAGGTACACTTCAACTATGAGAGACAGAATGGGGGGAAAGAATCCAGGAAATCACACCTGTCCACAACCTCAAACAGTCACACTCCAAACTCCACTATGGCCAAGACCAAAGAGCTGTCAAAGGACACCAGAAACAAAATGGTAGACCTGCACCAGGCTGGGAAGACTGAATCTGCAATAGGTAAGCAGCTTGGTGTGAAGAAATCAACTGTGGGAGCAATTATTAGAAAATGGAAGACATACAAGACCACTGATAATCTCCCTCGATCTGGGGCTCCACGCAAGATCTCACCCCGTGGGGTCAAAATGATCACAAGAACGGTGAGCAAAAATCCCAGAACCACACGGGGGGACCTAGTCAATGACCTGCAGAGAGCTGGGACCAAAGTAACAAAGGCTACCATCAGTAACACACTACGCCGCCAGGGACTCAAATCCTGCAGTGCCAGCGTGTCCCCCTGCTTAAGCCAGTACATGTCCAGGCCCGTCTGAAGTTTGCTAGAGAGCATTTAGATGATCCAGAAGAGGATTGGGAGAATGTCATATGGTCAGATGAAACCAAAATAGAACTTTTTGGTAAAAACTCAACTAGACGTGTTTGAGGGAGAAAGAATGCTGAGTTGCATCCAAAGAACACCATACCTACTGTGAAACATGGGGGTGGAAACATCATGCTTTGGGGCTGTTTTTCTGCAAAGGGACCAGGACGACTGATCCGTGTAAAGGAAAGAATGAATGGGGCCATGTATCGTGAGATTTTGAGTGACAACCTCCTTCCATCAGCAAGGGCATTGAAGATGAAACGTGGCTGGGTCTTTCAGCATGACAATGATCCCAAACACACCGCCCGGGCAACGAAGGAGTGGCTTCGTAAGAAGCATTTCAAGGTCCTGGAGTGGCCTAGCCAGTCTCCAGATCTCAACCCCATAGAAAGTCTTTGGAGGGAGTTGAAAGTCCGTGTTGCCCAGCGACAGCCCCAAAACATCACTGCTCTAGAGGAGATCTGCATGGAGGAATGGGCCAAAATACCAGCAACAGTGTGTGAAAACCTTGTGAAGACTTACAGAAAACGTTTGACCTCTGTCATTGCCAACAAAGGGTACATAACTAAGTATTGAGATGAACTTTTGTTATTGACCAAATACTTATTTTCCACCATAGTTTGCAAATCAATTCTTTAAAAATCAGACAATGTGATTTTCTGGATATTATTTTTTTTCTCATTTTGTCTCTCATAGTTGAGGTATACCTAGGATGAAAATTACAGGCATCTCATCTTTTTAAGTGGGAGAACTTGCACAATTGGTGGCTGACTAAATACTTTTTTGCCCCACTGTGTATATATATATATATATTTTCATATTGCAGTAAAATGTTAAAGTCGCACAATTTGCAATACAAAAAAACAATTACATTTGAAAAGTCCTGCTGTAATAAGAAAGTGTCAACTTTTATTTTTAACATGGAAGTGTGGGATTACAAACACTTATTTGGCATTATAAATGTGTGTATTACTAAACTACAACTGCACTGTAATTATATTTCTTATCACCATATATTACAAAGATTATTTGTATACTGTTCTGCTCTCTGGTTGTGGGACGAGGTAGCCCTAAGGTTTATGTCTATTCCTCTTAAACTGAAAACTCTCCATCTAATATTTGTTTCTTTCTGTATTCTCTGTTCTTCAAGTTGTATTATGTTATGCCAATATGAATTATGTACCCTATAAAGCCAAACTGCTTTTCTCTCCTTGTACAGGACGTGATGCAGCAGGCCACCAACGCCATCCTGCGGGGGGGCACCATCATGACGCCCTCGGTGTCGGCAAAGACCATCGCAGAGCAGCTGGCGGAGAAGATCAATGCCAAGCTGAACTACACCCCCGTGGAGAAGCTGGAGGAGGAGCGGCAGGCGGCTGAACAGGCCGAGACCGTCAAGAGATACGAAGAGGAGCTGGAGATCAATGACTTCCCTCAGGTAGGCAGCACACAACAAAGAACTAAAACATTCAGCAGATGCCTAGCTTATCCTGGATCTGTTTTATTTCTCACATGCCACAGTAGGTTTTAACTATACTACGGGATGAGGTTCAGGAAGTTTAGATGGCTGTAGTTTCCCTTGGTCACAGTGAACCTCGTCTTGTCGGTGCCTAGAAGCAGCGCATAAGAAATTAAAATATAAACTCTGGAAGCAGTTTTCTTTGAAAGTCACATGACTTCATCAAATATTTATCACAGGCGTTTTTTAAAACATGTTTCAAATCTTACATTTTTCCGAATGGCATTAAATGTTTACCATTTTGAAATACATGTAAAGGCTTTGGAGAGAGTATTATTTATTTAGTTCTCTGCTTCATTGGGATGTGTGATCCAATCTTCTTTTCCCAGTTTAGCAATGCTCACTTTATACCACAACGTTACCAGTCAAATATGTCCTCTCACTTGAGGACAAATCCAAACTGTGTCAACTTTGTCAGAAAATGTTGTGTTTTGTGATGGACCACATTGCTCAACATAAAAACAGGTGGCCATTTTCTTTTATTTCAGGGCCTTTTTTGATGTTAAGACGTGTTTTGGTAGCAATCATGTCCAAATTCGAAATTGTATTTTTAATTCTGAGAAATGTGTATTCTGTTTTCTACTTTAATGGAAGCTGTTGCAAATAAGGACAGAATCTAGCTAAAAATCTTTTTAAATGTTTCTCGTTCTGATCTACCGCAGACGGCCAGGTGGAAGGTGACGTCTAAGGAAGCTCTGCAGAGGATCGGTGAATACTCTGAGGCCGCCATCACCATCAGAGGAACATATTTCCCTCCAGGAAAAGAGCCCAAGGAGGGAGAACGCAAGATCTACCTGGCTATTGAAAGTATGTGTCAGGGGAATCAGTTTCAAGTGTTCAATGCGTTCTTTAAGAACATTACTTTCATAATGACGTTCCTAATCTTTCTCTAAGCATCCATTGAGCTACGTCTGGGCTCTGTATTCACTCCTGTTTTATTGTGTATAATACATCTTTATTTACTGTTTAATAAAGAAGCGTTTGTTTTATAGGTGCAAATGAAATGGCCGTGCAGAAAGCCAAAACAGAGATCACGCGGTTGATCAAGGAGGAGCTCATCAGATTAGTAAGTATCCTTTTCTTCTTATAGGAATCAATAACATCAGATTTTTGGAGCTTGAAAAATAAAACGGGGCATGTTGTAATTGATTAAATATCTATAAAAGATGTTAATAATTTTTTTTTTCTTCTTTCCAGCAAAATTCTTACCAGCCGACGAGCAAAGGCCGCTACAAAGTGTTGTAGAGAAGAATCAAAGGCTCATGGAAGGAGTTTCCGTCTCTCAACAATCCCCTGCCATCTCACCGTGTTTAAAACTATTTGAGTCTATATTTTTAATAACATTCCCTTGAAATACCTAAGTTTGCTGTATGGTTTTGTTTTTATTATGCATAATTATTCCCTCAGTTTCCTCTGTGCTTCACCTGACTTTCCTGTGATTTTATACCTACAGACCAGAAATGACCTCCAGTGTCATTGTACCATCACAATCCCAAATATGTATTTTAAATGTAACTCTTTAGTGTGTTACCTACGTAGACTTTGTTCTTCAACGTCTGAATTAAGTGAATTCAACCAAAGTGAAAAAACGGGTCTGATAACCAATTCATTTGTAACGTGGAACAACGAGGTGAGACGCTTTCGTACGCTGGTGATCTGTTCTGTGTCGAGTAGTTTTACCTCACAAACAAAAGGAACCAAACTATTACACGCTCCGTCGAATTTATAGAATGACCAGTTCGAAATAAATAAGTAAAAGTAATGCGGCCCAATTAGAAAAAAAAAATCTGAAGACTTCTAATTATAAACATTAACAAAAATCTAATGTTCCAGAATAAAAATCTAACTAATTGTGCGGTATATAAAGTCTGAATAGCGCGAGTGTGTTGTGTCTGAGCTTCATCCGGATGATTTATGTCATAGAGAGCACCTCCAGTCACGACAATTTATCGTCAATATTTCGGTTTTTACAAAATTCCGATTTGGCATTGGATAGAGTTTTATTTTTTCTGAAATAACACCACACGTTATGCAAGTTTCTCGCTTGTAGGGTTCCCGCCGTTGGTTGCTCGTAGTGATATTCCTGTGGAACTTGTTTTGTCTGTTGGCACTCTAAAGACGAAATGACTTCACACAGGCTCGAGGACATAAAAATGTCGTATGTTCTCCTGATGGCGACACCGACAAATTTGGGCGATTAGTTTTACAATTGACACGGTAAGGCTCGTAAAGGACTTACCGTCACCACATTTCATTGTAATCATGTAAATGAGTTCATGACATGAATTCATGTTAAAACTCACTGAACATGAAACCTCTTATAAATTTCAAAACGGTGGAGACAAGGAAGGATGGTGATGTTCGGGTCTCCATTTTAGAACATGAAAGTGAGGGTTGATAAAATCGGAAAAATGATACCCGTTTAACATTAAATACCAACTTACTCCCTACACTTATTATTTGGAAATTCAATGTGGACCTCATGTAGCTGTTCGATGGGACCGTTCTTAGTCTGTTTCGTAAATTTTACTTGAAAGTGGAATTGGTCAGGAACTATTTGTGTACTTACAGTAGTTATTAATATTAGTTGTTGTTTTTATATAATCAAGACTTTCCCGGTTACACGTCTTCTCATGAAAATGAAAACGTGTAAATCGACTGTAATGAACTCATTGTAAAAACTTTACCGGTCCTTGAAAGTGAAACAATAGTCGCTCAATAGGAAGTGACGATGCATTCATATCGGATTTCTAGACTCATCGGATGAAAGAAGTAGGAGACGGACTTACGTCGACCTCGACTGGAGGACTGGCGAAAACATCTCACCATCACTTTACTGATGAAAGGACTTAGTATGTGTGCTTATTGAGAACAATAACCGTTCCAACTATCATCCTTGCGTTTGGTGTAAAACAAAACGTAGTCGTTAATGTACCAGGTAATTGAATTGATACTCCGTTTCATTTATGAATTTCCGACGACGACTACAATAAGGGCGTCTCCTGTTGTCCTACGCTCCTCCACACTCTAAATCGATGGTCGCGTTGTCATCATTATAATTAAGTATTTATTTTTTATCGTGTATAACGGCGTAGTACGGTTGCTCTTTTTGGACGGAGGAAGAGGTACAGTGCAATTCGTTGTGGCTTCCGATTAAGTCGGAGCCAAAAAGTATTTCCCAAATTGTAATCCGTATTTTTTTCACGGCCGATCTTATTCGCTAGGCTGTCGAACGTAGACTCCTATCTTATTGCGTCTATCTTTTTATGTGGGAGCGACGGACGTTGTGATCGCTATTACATTCGTCATGGGAGCTAACAAAGAGCTACAGCCACGTCTTCCGCAATTCCTGTTCTTTACTAGAAAAGTAGGGGCGAGGTTCGCACTCCAGCTACGTAAAAAGGGTTTATAGAAGACGTGGAGCCGGCATTTTAGAGTGTAGCCTACAAGCAACAGCTTGGGTTTGCTCTACGGGTCAAACGTTTGGCAAAAAAAAAAATGACCTGGTCGACGGTCTCCAAACCTATTCTTTGCGTCCCGGTAAAAAGGTAATTTTAAATTATTCTGCCCTCCGCGTCAGACTCGTAAGGGGTTGGCGCGTCTCATCCGATTTTTTTGTTCGCCCAATAAGAGGAAGGGGGACGGGCTTGGTGAAAGTGTAGCGTTTGGCCGCAAATTTTAATGTGGGGGTTTAGACAAATAAACGCAGCGTTATTATCGGACTTTTGGGTAATTTTTATTTATGTTCTACAATACATTACAAGAAAATTTTTACCGGTATTAGGTCAGGTTAACCCCGAATACGTTTCTGTTGTGAGGTGACGACTACTATTTATTGTTTCCTCTCCGGTGACTTATTAACTTTTTCATCATTCTACACAATTTAACGTTTGTCTTAATTCTGGGTAAATAGTATGGACGTTTCTGTAACAAAGATAACACCCGTCTTTTCAGTTTCATTTCTTGTATAGGAAGTGACTGACTAAGGAACTATTTCTCGATAACCCATGACTACAACGCACATAGTATGTAGTCCCACTTAGTGGGACTGGGGGGCGGGG